TATATATATAGAGCAATTTCAGGCAAGCTGCCAAAATGTTGTCATTTCTGTTTATTGATGGCTGTTGTACCTCCATCAGTGGAATTACAAAAATGTAAACTTTTTGATGTTAAGTTAAATGTGCAAGATTTCTATTTCAAAACAGCTGATTGGGAAAGTATTAAAGTACCATTTAAACCAAGTGTCAACTTTCCGACGTGTCATATTAAATCTGTGTCTAACCCCTTTCCATCCAATTACAAAGCTGCTTTATTGGTTAGTTTATTCAATTGATTGTGCTTGTTTATTTACATTGTTAATAAGGCTTTATTAAAGCCAACCCTTCTGGTCAGGAATGAGTCTTTATCTAAAGTGGAGGACTTCAAATATATACGAGTCTTGTTTAAGAGTGGAAGAGGAGATAGATTAGTGGGAGTTGTCTTCAGTAATGACAGTGTTGCTCCAGCCTGTCGTGGTGAGAAAAGTTTCCAAACCGTATCTATGGCCATGAAATATGAACCATGACTGTAAGAAAAAGATCCAGGATGCAAGTGGTTGAAACGGGCTTCTATAGGGTGGCTGGGTTCATCTAGAGAAGGCTCAGAGTAAAGCTGCTGCTCCTTCACACCAAAAGGAGTCAGCTAATTGGGTTCAGACGTCTGATTATGTTGTCTTCTGTTCGCCACCCTTTGGAGGTTTTCAGACACGTCCCACTGGGAGGAAACCCTGACTCAGAACTCACGAGAGGGATTATTTATCCTTACATGCCTTGTGTCTGGACAGAGAGATATTAGGGTTTAACTACTAGACGAGTTGCCTCTGCAACCCCACCACAGATGGATGAAATGATAAATATCCACGTTAATGCTGGACATCGTATCATCGCAGTAGTTTTGTTTTAGCTAATAAGTGTATTATCCTTTTTTGCCACTGTTATCTGTCAAAAAATTATTCGCGCCTAATAAATAAAATGTTTCTGTTTGTCTTTCCTTCACAGAAGTAGCTGCTGAAATCGGTTTCTCTGTGTGTCCTCTGGGTGATGAGGAGGGTTCTGCCTACAGCCAGCTCAGTATGGAAAGTAAAACAGACGCCTCGCTCGGCACGGCTGACAACAGGAGAGACAACGAGAGCAGAGCAGCTCGGTCCGAACCGAGTTTTCCTCCTTACCTGTCCTGCAGGGGCTGTGGACAGCTCCGTGATGAACCGCTTGGACCTGGCATAGACCTGGTGGGCCCGTACTGTCTTAGGTGTTGCAAAGCCTCCAGGGAGGCCAAAAGTGCAGACTTCTGTTCCCCCTTCGAGAGCGGTAGTGGACTTCGCTCTGGTTCGCAGAGTCATACAGACTCCCAGTCTGATAGTGAGGGGTTGGACGAGTCGGGTGACAAGGATGAACTGTCTGCTGATGACAAGTTGTCCAAGCAGCCCTCGTGTCACCTCTGTGGCTTCTCCTCGCGTTACGCCAACCACGTGAAGCGCCACATGAAGACCCACAACGGGGAGAAGCCCTTTAACTGCTCCATGTGCACTTACGCTTCCGCCCAGCTGGTGAACCTGCAGAGACACCTGCGCATCCACACGGGGGAGAAGCCCTATAAATGCGACAGATGCGCATTCGCCTGCAGTTCCCTAGGCAATCTCAAGAGGCACCAACGCATGCATGTGCCCTCTGCGTTGTTGGGACAGGAGGCTCTGACACAACCTGCCTGTGCTCAGAACAGCCTGAAGAGGCCCGTGAGCGAGCAAAGACCTGATGAGGAAGTGCCTAGTGCTTCAGGTAAGGTTATTGAAGACTTGTGTAGAAATTAAACTTAAAGGAGACATAAGATGCTTTTAAATCTTTCTTTTTCACATTTAAATTATTCAGTTGGGGGTCTATAAAAATTGGACCTGTGGTCTGAATTTCTCCTCATCATAACTCCACAGCCCCCTTCTTCACCCCTTTTCTGAGCTGCATCTCCGATCAACTCATTTTGAGGCTGTCTCTTTCAGTGTTGGGTGGTATACCGTTTTGTACTGAATACCGGTTTTTATTTTTGCTATGATATGAATCTTTTGAATACCGGACATTCCGGTTTAAAAAGCGGAACGTTTTGTCGCGGCCGCCAGTGAACTGTTGTTTCCCGGGGGACATTTTTCCTTGCTGCACCGCTATGTGCGTTAGCATGCTAATGTTTGGAGCAGCTAGTTGCAGCAGCGGGTGGCGATTCCACTGCTTATATTGACTGACGTTTAAAAAAAACATCCCATTTTCACCGTCGCTGAATGTAGTAAACACCTCTTCAGTGACGTGCACAGTTAGATTTAACGTGTTAAGTTAATATGGAGACGTTATGCTGATGGAGACTTAACGTGGTTATATTGTGAAAAGCCTGCGGGAAGTAGTTCGTAGTGGAGTTRGAATTGACTGGTGTGCAAGGTGAGTCGTGCTGATAAGCTTTAATAAATAACATAAAACAATAAACCCGATCATAATCTTTTCTTAACCCTCCTCCTTCACGACTGGACCAAAATGTGTGACTACTGTCTCCAACCACCAGTCAGAGAAGAACAGACACAGAGGAGGAAAACAGAGACACAGACTGAGGTACAGTAAAAGAAAAAAGTCAATAAGCATGGTTTGTAGGTTTTATCATCAGCTGAGCTGTGATGAAAAGAAAAATACCGTCAAATACCGTGAAACCGGTGAAAATGTTGAAAATACCGTGATATAAAAATTTGATCATATCGCCCAGCTCTAGTCTCTTTAAATCTAAACGAGGCGCTTCAAACCCCACCCCCATCCAGCTTCCAGAGCAGTTCTTTCTACTTTGACAGAGGGTTTATGACTACTTGGACACTTTTATTTATTTATTTATTTTTTTACAAATTGATTAAGTTGTCAAGAACTTATTTGCGAAGTTCCGTCACAGATAAGTGGATTTTGCATAATATGTCTCCTTTTAAAAACCTGTTGATCAGTGTTGGAGCTGTTTTATAATGAATGAATGAATGATTTATTTATTTGGGATAATGTGCAATTAAAACATAATAATCTGTCCCTCTCTGATCTTGTGAAGTTTCCGAGGGTGCAAGGCCGACGCCTAACCTCAGTTTGGGAGCCCAGAACAGTGACTACCTGTCAGTCTTTGACGGCTTAAAGGGAGCATCGCCTCCACCCATACCTGCCTCCAATCCAGCTTCGGGCCACCAGCCTTCCCCCCTGCTGGAGATGACGGGCAGCAGTAGCAGCAGTAGCAGCAGGACTCCAAGAAGCGGCGTGGCAGAAGGTGCCTCTCTCCCACCGTCCCTGTTTCCCTTCACTTGCCGATTGTGTGGCGTCGTCCTGGAAGATGAGGACGGCTCCTCAGCCCAGATCTGTGCCAAGTGCACCCTTGAAATGCTGACTAAAGACTCGTCGTCATCTCCGAACAGCCCCGGCGAGCGCAGCGACAAGGTTTACACCTGCGCCGCCTGCCCGTTCCTCACACACTACCCCAACCACCTGGCCCGCCACATGAAAACTCACAGCGGCGAGAAGCCCTACAAGTGCCCGCAGTGCGACTACGCCTCCGCGCACTTCGACAACCTCAAACGCCACCACCGAGTGCACACGGGGGAGAAGCCCTACAAGTGCCACCTGTGCGACTACGCCTGCGGGAACCTGGCCAACCTGAAGCGGCACCAGCGCGTGCACTCGGGCGCCAAGCCCTTCCAGTGTGCCGTGTGCAGCTACAGCTGCAACCAGAGCATGAACCTGAAGCGGCACATGCTTCGGCACACCGGGGAGAAACCCTACAAATGTCAGGAGTGTGGCTACACCACCGGACACTGGGACAACTACAAAAGACACCAGAAGAAACACGGCGTGGCCACAGACGGCTGGGTCAAAGTGCCGATGATCGGACATGATGCAGAGGAAGACGTGAGGAAACGGATGGGAGGTGGCATTCAGAGTCACAGAAAGGAGGCAGGAGCCGGTATACAGTACATGCCCAGAGATGGGGGTCAGGCAATACATTCAAACTACAAACTTGAGATTGCATAATTATAACAGAAACACTGAGCTACCAGCAACTTTTTAATTTTTTTATTTTTATTTTTTTGTTTATTGTAACTGAGCTGTTGTCTGGTTTTCATTTGTGTCTCTGTGTTCCGTCAGAAATCTTCTGAGGCTGCTAATTGTTTTGTCAGAATTAAGACAATTCTCGTTTGTTTTGTCGCCTTTTCGGGTTAAATACTGCGGAGGTCTTCTCTGTTTTCTGTTGAGGTAAATGGACCTCGCTGAAAGCTTATTGTTTAAAAGGCATCATGCCAGGCTTCCTAAATCACAACACCTGCACATTTCAGTCTAAAATGAGAGATACTAAGTTCTTGTCATGCTAGGGATGTAATGTGTAGTTTATGTTTTTAATACATTTATAAGAAATTGTTTTATACAGGTTTATTAAAGTTACAAGATTTTTATTAGTTTTTTTTTTTTTTTGCCAACAGTCAATTATTTCAATCCATCTTCTACTTGTATTTTACTTTTTTTGATTAAAACTACTGTTTACAGTTTTTGGAAGCTGTGTTTTATGGCGTTGTTTATAAGTAGTGAGTATCCCACCTGCAGTAGACAAGTCAGAATCACTAAGAAACTTTTGTAGAAGTCAGACTAACAGCTCCTGGTTCCTTTTCCAGAGTGGATTTCAGTCATCTCAAACAAATCGAAGCTGTTCCAAACGATGCCTTTTTTATTGATGTTTTTACACTTTTTGCAGCAAAAAAAATATACGGATCTTTTGAACATTTAACAATGGAACATGTTCAGTGTAAATAACCAATGGCATCAATGTAAATCAAAATGTAAGTATTTAAACCTGCAGAAGGTTGTAAAGTTTGAGTTGGTTCAGATGGCTAACACTCTGGTCAGTTCTGTCTTCTGCAGGTAAGATACTGACTCCTGATAACCACTCCACATAATTTTTTTTTAACATTTGGTTATGTTTGAAATATGTGCATATTACCACATTTCTTGAACTACACAGTGCAGCTTTAAGCAAAGTTCTTCATAAGGATCCAAGCTCTGCTAATGCCTTTGCATTAATGTACTGTATGTAATACTAAGTGCTATTTAATAGTACTTTAAAAGTTTTGGACTTGATTATATAAGTAATTTAAACTCTGATGCCCACACTTGAATAACTCAGTTTTTAACCTTTTTTTTTTTCTTAAACTCGATACTTCTGAGTCTTGATTTGTGATTTTAAAATATGGGCAAAAAGGGAAAAAAATATTAGGAGTTCTTTAACTACAAAGACTGCATGCTAAAGCTTAACTGTGTTCAACATGTAAACCGCCAACATTTTCAAACTACTGGAAGACTTTTTTTAAACATTTTATAAAGCAGACTGAGATATGTTTGAGACGGTTTAATGCACCACAACAAAACAACTGGCACATTTTTCAGGTTGAAAATATGACATCCGTGCCTACAGCTTACAACGTTCAGAGTTGACGCGAGCTAAAATAACGTTCAGTTAAACGTGTGACTGTCAGAAATCAGAGAAATGGATCGATGTGTCAATGATTGAAATCTGAGTGCCAACTGATATCACATAGGTGCTGCAGCTCGTTCTCATTTCTTCAGCTGACATGATGGGACTGTTAGATGTGCGGCTAAGTTCAGGACCGCAGACCTGAACGCAGTGTTTTCATCCTGATTTAGTCACTGACCTCCTTCTCTTATTAGTCCTTAATGTTGTTTTTTGTTTTCTTGCAGAAGCGTCGCCACAACTTGTTCTTGTTTATGTGCTCCAGTTCATGTTTTCAGAGTCTGATTGACTGTTTATCTGAGATTTTTTTTGATTTCATCCTGTTTCTCTGTCAAATAGTTAAAACTATGTATCAAACAAGTTAAATATATCTAAAAATGACAAGTATATATTTTGCCAGTCCGTTAAACTATATTTTGTTTTGTCGGCTGTGATTCTAAGGCCGGCTGCAGCACGTCACGGTTTCTTTCTGTAAGGGTTCCTGTTCTTTTGAGTTGTGTACTTATTAAGATGCAGAAATAACCAACAGATACAGTAAATTGTGAATTTATTTCAAGAGAAGTTGAAAAAATGTCTAGGCGGTAAAAATTATCTGATGGTTCCAATAAAAAAGCACAACAGTGACAGGTTTGGCATTTAAAAGTTGAAATATATATATATATTTTGTTCATGACTTGCTTAAAATGTTTGTTTTTCTCACACAAACTTGTACTCTTATTATGTCAGTATTTTTTTAAGTTTTATATCATAAAGATTTTGTCTTTTTTTAACGCTTTTTAAAGGGAGACTGTTGAACCACCTCTGCTTTGATTCCAGCTAACATTTACTGTGAACTTGTTTTTGTTAACTCGAAAAGAGATTCAACTGTTAGTCAGCATGTGAACAAGTAGGTTTTCCATCGCAACGCACTCGTAGAGGTGCGTATCATTGGAGCGTGTGCCGTGTCGTTCAGCTGCCATGATCAGAAAGTTCCAAACTGTGATTTAAAAATCAGCCTTTGTGCAGGACGATTATATGCAAGGGAGACATTTGGCAGGTCTGGGTCACGGTGGAGCATCGATCCCATATCTTTTTTACAGCACGGATGCCCTGCAAGTGGCCGGTTGTGTCTTTATGCAGTGTCTCATAAATGCCTTAAACGAGGAAATAAACACATGGCTTTCATGTCATTTGATGTCAGACATCAGACTTCGTCTTTTCTTGTTTCACTCAATCGTATTTTCACCTGCAGCGAAGCAGACGGTTTCTGTCTGGAATATAAACTTTTAGGAACGTCACAAGGTCCTAATAAGGTGTTTATAACTTCCTGTCAGAGCGGTTTGTGTCATTTAACAAGTCTGGATCTCTACAAACGGGTTTTAATACCTATAAAGGCTGTTATGATTGACATAATATTTATGTTATGATTAGAATGTTCTGTCCATTATCTGATTAAGAGAACTGAGAGGTTCTCTTCCATGGTTAGAATGACCTGTCATGGCCTAAATAGAGTTCAGTTTGTGACAGAGTTCCTGTCCTCTCGTCAGGCCTGTCCGAGGCAGTAACTCTTCTTTCTTCACTCGAGGTGGCCCCTACACCGCACATATTTTTGGCATGTAACCTCTTCCATAGTTTTTGTGCTATTTCAACAATTTATATCCAAAAACGAGCAGCTCATTCAGGACATTCCTGCTACGACTGTGTGCAGTTTAATTCTTTTATATTTACTGTATTCATTTAGATATTTAACCATAAAAATCATCCACAAAGTTGGGGGGCAGTGTTATACACTGGTTATTGATTAGATTTTTTTATGCTTTTAAAGCTCAAAAAATGATCATATTATACTCAAGATTGTATTATACATGAATACGGTAGCTTTTTCAGACTTTTTTTTCATTGAAAATCAGTTTCATTCAGTCCTTTAAAGGTTTTATGCTATTTACAACCTTTCATTTTAATTTCATCTGTTTTTTTCAGCTTGTTTCAACTTCTTTCTGATTCTTTCAGCTTTTTTCTGCTTATTTTAGCTTTTTATGCTTTTTTAAGATTTATGCTTATTTAAGATTCTCTAAAATTTCAGCTTTTTCTGCCTTCTTATTTCACCTCATATCTAGACATTTTTCTGCTTGTTTCAACATATGTGCTAGTTTTTTTCCTGCTATTTTTAGTTTTTCTGCTTTTCAGCTATTTTTGCTGCTAGTTTTAGCCACTTCCAGCTTTTTTTGTTCTTACGTTCATATTGCATTTTCACAGCAAATGAAAAATTTCTAGTTCAATTTCCAGTGATTCACTTGTGCTTTATTCTCTGAGAAACATTACTTTTGAACGACAATAGGTGCCAATCCGAGATTCATGCTTCCACAAGATACGTTGGATTAAAGTATCAGACTAAATTTACAATGTGTGTTTATAATAAATTGTCCTTTAAAAATACAACAGCACCCTAAAAAAAACTTGGTGTGCTACTTAAAGATTTATGGTCCCCCTGTTCACATCTTAAATATTTTCTTGCGGGGCCACTGCCCAAATGTTGGTGCAATTTAGCAATAAAAAAGTGTGTAGCTTGTAACAAACAAACAAAAGTTAATTGTTTTATTTCAACTTGTCCTAGTGGTGGGGTTTACTAACTTCAACTGCTATCCTAAAGTATTTATAAAAGTGAGTCAGGATCTCAACTCAAGGATATAATGTTACATCATCAAAAGGTCATTTTTTTTCTTTTCTTTTTAAACTATACTGTACATTTCTGTGAAACAAACTTAAAAGAAAAAAAAACTCTGAAGCTTGTGGTTCGGCACTAACTAGTACAAACCATGACGTGACACCTGATTGGCTGCTGCATTTTAGTTTATTTTAGCATCCAGACAAACAGAGCAGACATGTACCTTACCAATAAAACCATGAAACAACGATTTGAATGAAGTCAGTACAACGTTCATAAAAAAAAGGTTATTTAGTTTGAAAGTGATGCTGATGGGAAACTTTATTAAAGTGTGAACTGGCACCTACACATTTACGAGCATCCAGGACCTTCCAGCGCTGTAAGAGAGTTTAAAACATGACGTCGGGGTAAACCTTTCGACCGTACAGAAGCGAACGACAGGAAAGAATTGCAGCACTGAGAACGAGACGTTTACATCGAGAACACTGACCAGTGAGGGTAAAGCTGGTGAGGATGGCACTGGTTTCCACTGAGCTCTGAGTAACTCACGCTAAACAGCAACATGGAATGACAGGTTTTCTCAACAAAAATAAAATAAGTGAGATATGTTCATTTTAATCCATTATTATTGTTCAATCCAGCAATTTCAACCACATTGCCTCTTCAAAGCACCGTTTCTCAAAAACCTCTGAGATGATTGGCACGATCAAGAAATGACAATGAAAGCGAAGAACATTATGATCACTTACTCGACAGGAAAAAAAGCTAAATATGTAAACACTTTTCATTTGAACTAAACAGAAAAGTCCCCCTAAACATTACAAATGTTGGTCCATTTACACTTTACATACAGCTTAGATTACATTTGATCTATTTGATTACAAGAAGCTATGATGATAAAAAACATTAGTAAATGTTCAAAATGCTTAAATTCATGTACAGAATAAAAAACTAACAATGTCATAATTTGTGTATTTTGTGCAAAATGCTTTAGTAAACTATAATTTGGCATTTATGAGAACCCTTTAAAAATAAAAAAAACTTGATAAAAAAAAAATCCTAAATGGATTTACAGAACCTCGAGGAAAGAGAGAAAATAAATCTTCACAATGTTTAAAATCACGCTTCCCACCAACATTCTTCTCATCTCGACTTGTAATACTGTGCAAAATGACGGGTTCAGCAAGTGCAAGCAGCTCGACCAGATCAACCTTCCATCAAGTTCTGCAAGGCTGCTTTAAATGTTTTCTGTCAAGCTAAGCTGAATGGCAAGAGACTCCTACTGCCCCCACCACCACCACCCCTCCTCCTCCTGTCAATGAGGCTAAAATTAAGGCATCAAACTACTTCTGAGAGCAGGATGAGTGACACTTCCATCAAAAATATTTGTTAATTTGGCACAAGTTTCAAACATTATAAAAAAAAAACAGCTCTTTTTCCCCCACATTCAGTCAAGCCGAACAGCATCATCTGTAGAGTTACTCTAAGCCATTTAACAGCTGTGGGATAAATTTTAAAGATTTTACGGGGATGGCTGAAATAATCATCACTAGTGGCAGGTCTACCTCAACATTTGGCATCCAGGTTAAAGATGAACACTCAGCCACTCAGAGGAGAATCCAGGGTTTCTTCATATGTCGCTATTTTAGTTGCAAAGTGGTGATTGTAACGAAGAGAAAAAACGTCTAAATGAGTTTTCAGTCTTAAAACAAAAAGAGTAAAATGAGAGTTTAAGGCAGCGATTCATCCAGGAAGAAGCTACAGTCTTGCAGGAATGGACACGCGGGGACCAATCAGCTCGTAATCTTTGTCGTCGTTGACAGGAGGTGGACCGCCCGTTTACAAGTCGTCGTCCCCGATTCCCTCGAAAGCGTAGTTGCCGTGAAAGTCGTCACTGCTGATGTCATTTGCTGAGTTGGAGGCGCTGATCCCTCTGAGAGACACCGAGTTGAGCTTGGTCTAAACAGAATCGACACGTTTTATTACCTGAGAAACGGATTGTATGACTGCAATGAAGGAAAGGTTTTAAAAAAAAAAAAAGACTCACTGAAAGTTTGACAACTTGTTCCCGGTTTGGATCAGGAGAGTCCTGCCACAACAAAACAGTGAAAATGACTCTGCACCTCAGATCTGAACCTGCAGTATGAAAAAATTAAATAAAAGAAATGCCTGCTGTTCCGTTTCTCACCAGTAGAGGGGGAGATTTCACAGCTTGCTGACTGTCAGAACGGTGAATGGAGCCATTGTGTCGCTTTCGCAGCATCTGGAATAAAGACAGAAAACAGCAATAAATACTATTTCTCTTCAGAACATTTATATGAATTATGATGCTAGCAGCTATTCAATAAAAACAATGGGCATATTAAACTAACATGACTTGATTAAAAAATGCATTATCCCATAGGACTAATATAAAATCTCTAAAAATACATTGTGAACAAAAGCTGTTTCTTGAATACAAACCTTCTTTATGCTGCCTCCTGACTTCTTTACCATTAATTCATCCACCATAGACTGAAGGCAGATACTCATCATGATGGCCTGAAATCACAACGTCAATGAAATCCGGCTCACAAAGCCCAAGAAGTGTGGCAGTTTGTGTGGAAGATGTGTCTGTAGGTGTCAACAAGTCCAACTAACAGCTTTGTTTTCAGCTTCAGGACAGTTTGTTTATGCTGAAAACATTAGTAAAATGAAGTGTTCTCACTGGTGAATTATTTTGCCATGTTTGAGAAGCAATATGAAAGTGTGTTATTAGAGGGTCTTACCTGCTGACTGGTGATGGTGACCCACTGCAGACGGTCTTTGCTCATAAGATACTCGAAGGCGAGCTCCAGCTTCACCTCACACTTGGCTGAACTGCAGGGGGTGTTTGTACCGTTGGATATGGGGACTTGCTGCAGGGTTGAAAGATTCAACAAAAATGTATTGTTTATTTTTTTTAAAGTTTGACTTTTAATGCTTTTGGCATCTTCTGTAACAGCATAGTAAACTCATTTACTCATGTAAACAAAACATCCTGCCACCATTTGGCCTCCAAACATTTCTAGGCTTGCAACATCTCCACCCGCAAACTTTAGTCGTGTTTAGGTAACAAAATACAAATAAACCCATTTGGAATGATTTATTTGTGCTAAACGTTTCAGAATTTTTGTCGTCCTCTAAATTGCCTCTTTGTTCCTCATTTGTTAGTGACTCACTGCAGCTGTTTGTGTCTGCAGAACACTGTTTAACAGAGCTCATTACTCTGAGCAGCACAGAGGAAACTGGGAGGAGCACAAAAGTCTGGAAACTCTCTTGGAGCTGTTTCTAAACGTCTGCATAACCAAGGATCAATGGATTGTACAGAGAAAAGCAGCTTCAGGTGTAAACATTGTGAAAATAAAGGGGGGTGTGTGTTGGAGGGTATCAATATTAAAAGAAAGAAAATCGATACGATACTGATTTTAAAAATATCAATATATTAATTTTTATGCACGGCCCAAATCAAAGAGCCACCTACAACAGGTAAGATATTTGTTGTTTATAACATTTTCACGGAAAACAACTTCAAAAGATATACAACATGATTTTTAGGTAAATTTGTTTTCTTGGGTTCAATTAAAGTCAAATATCAGGGTTCCTACAGTTTAAAGCAAGTTAAATTTAAGACTTTTTAATGTCAAGTAAAATTTAATTTAGGACCAATTTTATAATAAACACAAATGACAAAAAAATAAAAAACTGGCAGAAACTCATGAATCAAAGTATTTTTGGTTTAAGTATTCAAATTATGCCAATAGACCAATTGTTTTTATCCATATCTAACTATAACAGAAACATTCTTAGCAGTCAGTTTTAAACTGAATTTAATTTCTGGAAATCTTCTAACGACCCAAAATTACGAGTATTAGGACCCACAGCGGGGTCTTAATGCTGCGTTCACACCGAACGCAATTTCAGCTTCAAAATCGCAGCCAACGCTGAAGTTTGAAGCTTGTGCACTTTGAGGTCAGAAGCAGGACAGCTGCGCTGCACGGCAACAGCCTCCCCGCCCCTCCCTCCTCTGTCGGGCTCTGTTTAATGTCGGACGAGGAAGTGGCTTTGCTTTATTTACAGAGAGYMAGAGCATGTCACGTTCATCAGATAATTAATTCATAATTAATTCACCAGATAATTCAGAGTAGAGGCTCACAGCTCGCTTTCAGGACTATTTTTACAGTCTGATGAGTCGCTGTCACGTATTGCTGCGGATCAGGACACGACTGCAGGCACTCGATTTCAGCTAAAAGCTCCTCTCCATCTGTTTCAGGTTAGTGGACATCATTCAGTAAACTGTCCCGTCGGGAAATATGTCGCTACGTCACACAGTGGAGTCTCTCTGATTGGTTGATGCTGCGCGTCGAGCTGCAAAAGTTCAGATTTTCTAACTTCAGCGATTTGCGCCTCAGCGCGTCGAACGCTCAGATCGTTCAAATCGCACTGCTCTAATCGCGCTTGAGGCGCCGCAGAACTTCCCGACGCTGCTTGAAGCGCGTCCACCATAGACTTTGCATGTAAACCTGATGCTCCTGCCGCTGAAATCGCCTTCGGTGTGAACGTACCATAACACCAAATTGCAGTAGATGAACCCTTTAAGTGTCTGTGACATAATTTTTTTTGTAAGAAAAGTTAATGTATTTTTGGAAAGACAGCATTAACATATTTCAATATGAGTTTCACATTGCTCAGCTGAACTATAGATATATTTACATGTGAAGTAACAGGAAGTGATGTCAAAGGTGACTGCATGTGAATACTGAAAAAAATATTTCTGACCAATTGTTTTAATATTTGAGATGAATTAAAATGTGTTAACATTTTTAAGACTACTGAAAGATTGATTTAAGACATTTTAAAGCTAATTAAGGCCTTATTTTTGAATTGATGAATTCAGAATGATCCTGCCAGTCATGGCTCAGGGTCATCTTGTGCAGCTAAATCTCATTTCCTTTCCTATCAAACAGTTTCTCTTGTTTGCCTTGTGTTTTTGAGCTGCTGCACCACAAACGTCAGGCAGCCAAGTCTCGACGCGAGCTACAAGATTACCATGGATGCAGGAAATACTTTTACAAATGCCTTCAAAATGACTTTCCACAGCCGAGAAACAGATTACAAAGCCTGAGCTCCTAGAAACAAGCTAATCACACATACAAAAAAAAAAAAAAAAAAAACAGCCGTATGCTGGCAAAATCCAAAGCACAAACACTGTTCACGTGTCCTTCCGGGTCTAATTTGAATTTCAGCTACGTGGGGGAGGAAGTGGGGGGGGGCTGCTGTGCTGCACCAAACAAGATGCTCTGAATATTTTGTCGAGCAGGAACGTGTACGTTAAAATGACTTTGACCTCGGAGAGTGAGCTCAGGAATGAATAACCCTGCTGGGCGGTGCCGGGGCTCCGTCTGGAACCAGACAGGCCGAGGTGCATTTTCATTTCTTGTGTTGCCATGTGCCCCGATCTCTGTGCAAATTAACTTCTAAAGCAGTGGTTCCCAAACCTTTTGTCTTCTGACCCACAAACTATCAAGGGCAAAAACTTGTGACCCCAAATATTACTGGTCTGAGTACATGAACTTCGTTAATAACCCTAAAAACACAGGCTTTTTGACAATCTAACCAGCTTATACACAAATATAAACACTTATTTTCACTTATTTTGTGTTTTTGTATTAATTATAGGGAAAATATTACATCAGCAATTATTTTATTACACTTTAAATTGATTTCTGGAGATTATCCAAGGTGCTTCATGACCCATAATTGGGTCCCAAGCCCAACTTTGGGAACCAAAGTGCAGTGGTTCCCAAACTTTTCAGCTTTTGACCCACAAAATAGTACAAAACAGTAACAGAGACCTGTGCTCCCAACTGTTTTTGGATGATAAACATTTGTATCAGGTCAACAAAACATGGGCATAGTAACAATATTTTTATATACATTTATCCATTTTAAATATACTAACCTCACTCCTTTGTAACAACTAAGGCAAAAATGTCATTAATTCAGAAAATCTTTTCAGGACCCCACCTTGATGTTTCGGGACCCCACTTTGGGAAACACTGTTCTAGAGAATCATGAAAGCCTCTGAGACAAACATAACACCCGAGCTGCTCAAAAATTCTGGCAATACAAGCCAAGACCACCCGTTTAAATAAAGTCTTCTTAAATCTGTGAAAGGACAGTGGGTTTTCTCAGCTTTCAGATGGATGATTTAACACTTTTACTTAGAAAATATATGAATTTAATGAAGATCAACATCTCCTTATCTAAAGAGCAACTACGCAGCTGAACAACGTGACGACTAACCGATCTGTTGCTATCATTTGCTGAGCTAACAGACTCCGATAGGATTGTAGACAGATCAATTGATCGAACAGGTCATGTATCTTAGTTATAAGCTTCATGTGATCAACACATGTCTGCGCTGCAAAAACATCACTACCTCCTCTTTTTAATAAAAGCATGTTGATGCACTGGTAGCTTTCAATGGTTTTACTGAAGCCACTATTTAGCTCTAAAATCCAGATGTTAGCAATTGGAACATCTGAGTTTTGCATCTCTGAGCTTTCTGAGAGCTTCATTTAAACAGGTGGGGGAAAAAGGTTGTATGGACCAATGCCCGAAAAATAACACAACAAATGATAAATAAAAATTTTATCAAATAATGTCTATGTTAGAATTCGTTGGCTTTAAAAAAAGGTTTATTTCATAAACTAAAACACCGCCTCATCAGTAAAATGCAGTGGTGTTTGTTTGAAAATGTGCTTTTAGAAAACATCACATGGGAGGAACCCGTGGACGGCACCACATCTGTCTGTCAGATCAAATATTCTGCAGTGATAAAAACAGGTTGTCAGTTTAATGACCCTGTGTTTAAATGTCTGTAAGAAGCTGAGGGAAACTGCAGAGATGCATGTGTGAAAATAAAAAAAAAAATCTTTACAGTCATTTAATCAAACAGCAGCACTTCCATCAAAAGACAAACACTGACGAAATGCAACGCAGAACATTTAACAGTTAACATTAAATTATATTTGTGGGGGAAAGGCTGTTTTAGGAGCACAAGTTCATGTCTGGTAATTATTTGCTTTAGAATTTAAGCTGACTTCACTCCCCTACACACACACACACACACACACACACACACACACACACACACACTTACAGAAGACGTGACTCGCCAGCATCTCATGCGTGTGACCTTGAAGCTTCCCTCCTTCATCTGCTCATTGGGCAGCTTGACGTGGAAATTGAGCTCATTGTTTCCAGCGCTGACAATGACTTGGCAGTCCTTCTCAGGGAAGTCGGTGATGCACGGATCAAACTTTATATAACCGTAATACTTCAGAGTCTGACACAGGTGGATAAACTGCGTAGAGAAAAAAAAACATGCATATATTTCAGATGCTAAAACCTTGCATCTTATATTGTTATGATTAAACATTGATATTGTAAATTGCACAACAGTAGTGATAACCCTCTCCACAGATTGATCCCTGGACTTATCTGCAGTCATGCGACACGCTGCAAAAGGCAGAAAATTCTAGAAGCGAGGCTACTTACTTCCTTCTTGGAGCCTTTCTCCTGCAGAGATTTAAGCTGCCTGTGCTGCTCTTTGTTGACGAGTATCCAGCCTCGCTCAATGTCTGACACCGTCTAGTGGAGCAAAACAAAGAGGACGTTGGAGTCATATTTCTGCACAAAGCATAAATCATTCTTACACTGGTGGGTGCAGTCACACAAAAAGGACTCCATGTCGACAGTACCAGTCAGGTAATTACAGTGAGTTATGCACAAACTCCTGCAAACATCCTTTAGCAGCAGAGATGATGCATGGGAATTAAAAAAAAAAAAAATCAAACTATGAATCAGCCTCAGAGACATTATATAAACCCTCAGCATGAATGTTAAAGCAAAGAGGAATCTTGTATTAATGAGATCAAAGAGTAAAAATGTAAAAAATCAAAACGAGGTCACATCACAACCAGAGATCTGAGATGTAAGAGATGAAATAAACTTTTCACAGCCCAAGGACATTTTTTTATTCTGACACAACAGATGCAAGTTTTTTTTATTTTAAAAAGGTATCTGAGGCAACAATTATAGCTGGTTCACCTGATCCATAAACCGACCTACCTGTCCGTACAGTAAATTCAAGCCAACTCTGTTCTCCATTACATCACTGTCGTACGCCATGTCCCAGTAGCTGAGAGGAAACAACAAAAAAGCATAGACTTAAAATGTGAAATCTATTTGATGTGAAGAATCATAAAAACAAAGATTCGAGACAATAAAAACTATAACGACAATATTGCAAAAGTATTTTATTTACATTAGAGCAACTACAAAAACTGCATTAACTTAGAGCGTTTCACTCTTCTTCATTATCTCGAACCACCTGTATCTCCACATTAAGAGATGGTTTGATCTACTTGAACACTGGTTCAACACACAGGAGTGGTCACTGCACAATCCGTGTACTCTTTAGTCATTTGTTTTCGTCTTAAAAATGGGCAATGAAAAACAAAAAACAGTTGTAATTTCATTTTATACTCCAAAAACAAAAAAAAAAAATTATCCATCTTTTTATTTTTGTCAAGGCAACCCAATGCTGTCCAATGGAACCTGCTGCGGGTTCCAGTTCCTCACCATGGACCATTTAAGGTGGAGCTAGATAAATATTAGGGGTGCACATGTACCCGTATCGAACGGTTCAATACACACTTGTATCGAATAATACAGATTTTTAAAAATTATTTTATGAACATGTCTTCTGAAGATGCTCTGTGTTGAAGGATCAGAGGATCTGTGTTCGACTACTCCACCTAGGCTGTATTTTCGAGCACAGATCCACTGAGAAACTTGCTGCTTCAGCAACATTTCATTTAAAAGCGGTACTTTTGAGGTTTAACAAATGTTCATAAATAATTTCAATAAATTACAAGTTAAAAAGGGCATGGACATCTCTGTTATTTGTATCAAAAAAATATAGAACCGTGAGATTAAAGTATCAAACCAAACCAAATCGTGAATTTTCTGTATCATTGCACCCTTAATAAATATGTTGGTCGTTTTTTTTTTTTTTTTTTGAGAAATTGGCTAGACTAGCTATTTTAATAAAAAATAAGGTTAAAGAAATGCAAAATTAGTTAGCGAGTGTTTGTTTGTTGAACCCCTTCTTAATGAAAATTTATTTAACTAGTTCCACTTAAGATATTTTTTTGTTTTCTTGGGTTATAAAAGTATGAGTATAAAATGAAAATAATGTAACCATCTGTTTTTCAATATTTGTTTTTAAAATGAAAGTCAAATGAACAAAAAGTACAGGGCCGCTGCACTATTAAACTAACACCTGAATCTGAAACTGGAGCTGTGACATCATGCCCCAAAAAATATGGTCTGTTTGCAGCTTGAACGATGGGAATGATGAGAAAAACTAAAGATAAAAAAAGCAAACGTATGTATTAAATTAAACCATTTCCAGAAAATCCAGATCTTGAAACATAAATGAACAGAGAATAAGATGAAACCTGTGTAATCATTTCTCTGGAAGCAATTTGGTTTAATAACTGTTGCCAGGTTTATTATTGACAGAGAAAAGAGAACTATGTAGCACTTAGAGATTTTTTGTAAATAAATAAATAAATGCATCTTTTCTCACACTTTAAATTTACCACTATGTGGTCAACAAATAGAGAAGCAGTTTAAGAAAATGTGAACCATGACATCAGCAATTTAAAACAGAGAAGAAGAAAGAGAATAATTTAAAAAAAGAACAAGATAGAAGAAAGTCAATCAGACAGAGCCTGCTGACACTTAATGGATAACATTCCAATAGATTTTAAAAACATTATTTGAAAAATTCTTGTAGTTTTCCCCTCCCTCCATTTCAACATTCACTTTTGATTTCCTCTGGCCTCATAGTTCCCTGTAAGCCCACACTGGGGGTCTGTTTTTCCACCTTCTCAACTTGTTAGTTCTGCGCTCATTCTTCCCTCCGCTCCACCACGAAACTAGGTCAGGAGGACTGAGACGTCTCAAAAACAAAGTAAACATCCTGTGTACCTCCAGAGTCCGCAGGAGGCAGAGTGGTGAAAGAGACGTGGAGAGGAATGAAACGGTTAAGTTGACCAAGGGAGCGGTCAGACTTCAGGCTGAATGGAAAATCAGTTTGTCCCATTGATTTGTAATGTGCTACTAATGGTTTTCTAAGTTTGTGACATCCACCAAACGTCCTCTCTTCCTCTGAAAACAAACAGACTAAAAGCTGCAAGGATTAAATAAACAGAGTGACTGATGAGTACCTTTTTCGTAAGACTATGTGAAAGTCCGAGCTCTGCAGGCTGCTTATGGACACGTAAGGCAACTCAAACTCCTGCAGCTTCCGGACAACTGAGATAAAACAAAACAAAAACAAAAAAACTGTGAGAAACAAATGCAGCTTAAATCTCAAGGCCAAGTCAGAAAAAATCACTGATGGTGAGATAGTGTCCAGTCAGTCCCCAGCTGGGTGAAACTTCAACACTAAAAGAATGTGAAGTTATTTCCTTGAGGAGCGTGAAAATCCCAGATTGTTTTAGATTTAATCTGTAAAGGTTTATAAAAAAAAGGAGATTTAATTCGCTATAGGCAGCTAGTAGAGCTAGAGTGAAAAATATAAAAAACTATTTGATGTTTGAGTCTGCCTGTTCTCCATCTGAACACTGGTCCTTGGGCTGATAAAAGAATGTAAACATTTTTCATCCTCCAGTCCTTTTGTTGAAACTCTACATTCCACGTTTGGTTTTGCTACCATCTGATGGGCTACACATTTAACTATTAAAACAAAAAAAAGTCCATTTATTTCAGTTTTTTATTATTACCTTATTAAAATATTCCACAATAAATGTTAATAATAAAGCTGCAAAACAAAATTGTTTTTATTTCCTGTAGGACTTTAAACTTACATGTTAAACTTCCATCCACACCTTCACGCACCAAGAAGAGACTGAAATAACCCACGAGGTCATCTGGGAGGTCAAGTTTTGTCGCAACAGCCTGGAAAAAAAAAATTAAAAGGTAAAATTTCAATTCACACTATTTTAGACAACAAGCTGTAGAACAGTTAGTTAAACAAGGTTCTTACAGTTTAAAGCAAGTTAAATTTAAGACTTTAAGTGAAATTTAATTTAAGACCAATTTCATAATAAACACAAATGACAAAAATTAAAACTGGCAGAAACTAATGAATCAAAGTATTTTTGGTTGAAATCTTCAAATGCTAATAAATCAGTTGTTTTTATCCATATCTAACTATGGTAGAAACATTCTTAGCAGTCAGTTTTAAACTTAATTTAATTTCAGGAAATCCTCTAACAACACAAAATTATGAGTTTTAGGACCCACAGTGGGGTCTTAACCTTAATTTTCTGTAGATGAAACCTTAAAGTGTCTGTGACATTAAATGTTTGTAAAGTGAATGCATTGTTGAAAAGACAACATTATTAGCATATTAAGACATTTCATGTTGCTCAGATGAACAGTTGTTGAGATATTTGCATGTGAAATAACAGGAAGTGATGTCAAAGAGGAATGTCTGCATGTGAATATTAGAAAATAAAAAGAAATGTTACCAATTATTTTAATATATGAGATGAATTACAGTCATCCTATTTACAATGTTTTAACATTTTTAAGACTTCTGAAAGGTTGATTTAAGACATTTTAAGGCTAATTAAGGCCTTATTTTTACATTGATGAATTCAATGCCTTTTAAGACATTTTAAGGATCTGCAGGAACCCTGTTAAATACTGATATTATTAAAATAATTTGTCATTGCTTTCGAAGTTTTCTGCTTTTATTTCTTTCATACCAGTTTTTCTTATTTTATTATTATTTTTTGTGCACTAAAATATTATGAGACTTCATATTGTCCTTTAGGCTAGAAAAATATGTGGACAAAAGGACTTCATTTGATCTGTGTGGCTCACAGGGGAGTCGACAGTAATACTGATTGTCTGAAGAAAGTCCCAGGTAACCGTCAGAGGTAAAACGCAGAGAACAGACCTCAGTTTGAACACAAATACAGCTGAGGTAGATGTCTAAACGTGAGAAGACTCCTAATAGCCTCAGATGAAGTAAATTATCAAGATATCAGGTCAAACAATAGGCTAGAAGCTGTTTTTATTGTGCTTTTACATTAATTTTGCTCTAAATATTTTTCAAATGTAAAGCTGGAGGTCTGAACGTTGTGAATTTTTTGCGCTTACATCAAGAACATCCTCGGTTTGATCCGAGGTCAGAATGTTGACGGTAACCTTCTGACCGCTGGACAGCCAGACGTCTAAAGTGACCTCTTCTGTGGGAATCTGCTGGGTCTCCTGTGGGAGCAACACAAAACAAAAAAACACACTTTAGTTCAGCTTCACGGGGAAGCTGTGCAAAACCTACAAGTTCTGATGGAAAAGAAAATGTATTACATCCAAATTTATAAAAAATTAAAGCAGAATGCTACGCTTTGATGGTTCTGATTAGGTTCAGACAAGTGGACAAGTTTAGAAAAAAATGATACTGAAACAGAGACATCCAGTTTTTCTCGTCCCCCGTTAATCATCTCTCACCTAGTCTGTTCACTCAGAGGGGGTTCTGTAAGAACAGCCCCTTTTTCTAAGGTGCAGATGAAACGCCTTCAGTGGGTGGTAACTCTGCACCTGAAGCCCTCACAGTATGACTGGAGATGTGTTTGAGCACCGACTCTAACGTGATAACGTGAGAGGAGAGGAGGGTGGGTGAATGCTGGCAGCAGACGATTAAAATCTTTTGTGAAGGTGATCCAACAAACGCTGACGAATCAAAAATGTAGCCTTAAAACTATTTATTTGACACGAGTTTGAACCCTTGCTGTATAATTCTATTGGAACTTTTTAAAACAAATTTTTAATACAGCTGAACGATGTGTCGTTTGAGCATCACCTTTGCAATGTAGTTGTCCTGCGATGTACGAGCCAAATTAAATCATCTAACAACTAAACCATAAGTCATTGCACTAAACGGTCACAGATTTTATTTTGAAGGGTTGCTTCGGCCAGCAGCTTCGTGTCGAAGGAACTGAAACTTTCATTTTATTGTGAAACCACTGAGACTATTATGGCAAGGTTTCTTTCAGGGAAGTGTTGATGGCAAATTCTCAAGCTGCGGAAGAAGACGACGAGGATCTTGACGAGAACGACGAGCATATTGGCAGAGAACTGGGGGAAAAGAGGTAAAATACGGTTAGCATGAATGCTAATATTAAAGCGTGATGGAAACAGAAACTAAAATAGACACAGAGGCAACGGGTTAGGAAGTAAAATGCAATTCATGTTTGCACATGATAGAAGGAAACATGTACTCTGGTCCCAGCATAATAAAAGCAAGCAATAAAAGATAAGAATAACTCTCAAATACAGACAAAAAACTTGTAACATGCACAAAAAAAAGAGGTAAGATCAGCACAGGTTCATTGTCAACAAGATGGCAGCACAACTTAAAATGTTATTCGTGTCATCTGCTGAAAATTTCCGCACTTTTTAATATCGCAATATATATACATACAGAAAAAAATTGCAACGTCAGCTTTTTCCAATATTGCCCATTCTATTGGTATAAAACGTGATCTAAAGCAGTGGTACCCAAACTTTTTGTCTTCTGACCCACAAACTATCCAGGGCAAAAACTTGTGACCCCAAATATTACTGGCCTGAGTACATGAACTTTGTTAATCACCCTAAAAACACAGGCTTTTTGACAATCTAACCAGCTTATACACAAATATAAATACTTATTTTTACTTGTTTTGTGTTTTTGTAATAATTATAGGGAAAATATTACATCAGCAATTATTTTATTGCCCTTTAAATTGATTTCTGGAGATTATCTAAGGTGCTTCATGACCCATAATTGGGTCCCAAGTCCAACTTTGGGAACCAAAGTTCAGTGGTTCCCAAACTTTTCAGCTTTTGACCCACAAAATAACAGCAGCAAAGACCTGTGCCCCCAACTATTTTTGGATGATAAACATTTGTATCAGGTCAACAAAACATGGGCATAGTAACAATATTTTTTATACTACATTTATCCATTTTAAATATACTAACCTCACTCCTTTGTACCAACTAAGGCAAAAATGTAATTAATTCAGAAAATCTTTTCAGGACCCCACCTTGATGTTTCGGGACCCCACTCTGGGTCCTGACCCCAACTTTGGGAAACACTGATCTAAAGCACTGATTAGACTCTATAGAATGATTTATCCAGATCAGATTTGTGATGATTTAAATGAGTGCTGTAAGGGTGAGTGGATGGGTAAATGAGGGCACAGATTGGGCTGTAAAGTGATTTGAGTAGCCTAGTTGGTGACAAAGGTACCATACAAGTTCAGTCCATTTACTCTACCTCAACGCAAAAAAAAAAAATCTGTCCAGCATTAGACACTGCAGGCCATGTTGATGCAACAAAATACAGAGTGGTTAAGGCAGGTATAAAAACAAGAACTAACCTGCTGTGCTTTTCTTAAGAAGCTGTTGAACATCTCACTGCTTCCAAGCAAAGGATGCTGACGGACTGTAAGAACAAGGAGAGGCCCGGTGAGAGAAAGTCAACTTCAACAACTTCAATAACCAGTTTGATCCCACTGTAGTTCCATTTATGGTCAATAAAAAGAAAACGGCTCATTTTAGTTTGGGATTCCCATTTAAATGCCATAGAGACTTTTTAAACAATACTGTGATATCTGTGAGTGTCATTAGTTTCACTGTTTGACCAAATGTTAAAGTTCTGCACCATCTGGGTCAAAGGAGGTTCTGTTTGTAGCAACTGATTTTCCATAACCGTGCACAAAGCCATGATGTAACCAAGTGAACTTGTGGCCAAGAACACCCATGTGTGCGTCTGCTTCCAGACTATGAGCAAATACACACTCGCACAACTCTTCCTTGTTCTGCCAAAACTGCCCAGTGCCTGAGAGGAATAAAACAAACACTTTACACTGCTGCCAGCTCCAGTGCTCCATCTGTAAACGCAGTAAATTCACCCTTAGCCTGTTTAAAGAGTCTGAAGAATGTGCTCTAAACCTGATAAACTCTAATGGTTTTTGAAGATAATCCTTTTTAACAAAAAAAAGCCATATAATTTGTTCATTAAAATAAAAATAACTGTAATCATCATGACATGTTGAGTTTAATCTAATGGAAAGTTGTTTTTATAAAGAAGAAAAACCAGAGAGTTTAAATCAAATCACAAGAATATTAAAACATTTTCTTAAAAGTTTCTGGACTCTAGTTTCTCAGTTTCAGTCTGAAATAGCTCGACTGAATAGCTTACCGGCCTGCATGTATTTCTCAAGCTGTTCTCGTCTCTGTTCGACCTCGGCAGGCGTCAGGGTGAAGATCTTCTTTGGGGGGAAGGAGGGCACCACATTGCTGCCATATTCTTTCTTTATCTGTTGGTACAAAGCACAGGTTGAGAACAAAGGGTTTGAACATTGACAATTTCTACAACACTTTGCCTGCACTGTTAAAAACAAACAGGATGTTGGCTAAATTGTGTTTTTGACAAAGTCATTCGAATCTTATCAAAGTAATTTAACTTGTTGATTTAGGCACACAGCCTTTGTTATGCTAAAAGATGGAGGGATTTCTTTTGGAAAGACCTGTTTCTAATGTTTTCATTTTCCTGCATATTAGCCAGTCCAAGTTTACTCTTCCAGTTTCTTGACTCGTGAATTTTCTAGCATCTAGCTTAAGCATGGGCCAAATACCGGTTTCAAGGTATACCGTGTTATGAAAAAGTCACAGTTTCAAAACCAATAAAATTTTCTGTCATACCGTGCCTACGGTATAAGCATTTTTTGTTTATTTTTCCTCTGGTCTGTGCCGCTGCAGACTTTCCCCTGCAACCCCTCTCCAGCAGGCAGCCTGTCGGCACTCGCAGCTCTGCGGGGGTTGTGTGATGGTGGCTGAAGAACAGAGTTCCCCAAACTTTTTCCCTGTCTAAAATAATAAATCCAGCTTTATGATAGGGGTGTAAGAAAATATCGATACACTGAAATATCGCAATATTTCATTTCCCGATACTGTATCGATATTCTAAAGCCCTGTATCAATTTTTATTAAGGTTTAAAATGTCAACTTTCCTGCCAGCCGTTCATTTTTATGTTGTAGTTCAGCCTCTGACCACTAGTTGGCAGCAGTGATCCAGCCGGCTCCTCTACCTAGTATACCTATACCTAGTGTGTGTGTGTGTGTGTGTGTGTGTGTGTGTGTGTGTGT